CAACCTCCAAGTATGTTGGTTCTGGAGCCTCTTGGGAAAGGCTGCAGTACAGGCCCAGATCAGCCACTGCCTGTGACCGGTCAGGAACTACCTGATAGGAGTTGCAAAGCAATCCCTGGTTGTTCGCTGTCTGTGCTGCACCGGGAGTCATGTGAGAGAGGCCATGCTGTGAACCGAGGACGGCTACCACCAGTACTGGGTCTGGGGTAGCTCTGCAAAAACCCAGGACACACTGAGGCCTGCTGCCAGTTGCCAGCTCCCATAAGGTTCAGCCACTGATAAAGCCTCATGCAGTATGGGAGTTGCATGAGGGGGGGGGGTCTCAGTGAGTCAGCAGGGTGAAGTGAGCAGAGCTTACCAGACCAATTCAGATTCAGCTTTGGCCATGGGCATGTGGGAGGCCTCAACACAGGAAACATGGCACCTGTCTACTGGCTGCATGGGAGAAGGGTCCCACACAGGGAAATGGTAACTGTCTCTCTAGTCCTCACCTCAAAGCCACACACCTCAGTCTGCCCCCTGTATGTCTCTGATGACCCCCAAGTCACTGTCCCTCCACTAGTGCCCAGAGTGAGTGCCTGTGAGCAAGTGAATCTGTGTCAGGCCCTTTAAAAGGACGTCTGTGTTTCCCGTAGCCTTTTGTCCCACCTGGATGGTCGGAATCCCTGCTGTTTTTCACAGCCAGGTGTTGTGGGGGCTCCTCTTCCTGGCATCAGTACTCTCGGTTGGCGAGCCCAGTGTGGGGCTGGAGTCCCTCGCTCTTCCTGGAGTGTGTGCGGGGGAACCTCTGTGGCTGAGATAACCCTCCTGATTCTAAACTATGACATGCAGGTGTGAGCTCCGGACTATTCCATGTCTCCATCCCTCCTACCAGTCTTGATGTGGCTTCTTCTTTATTATCCTTAGTTATAAAACTTCTGTTCAGCCAGACTTCAGATGATTCTCCAGTTTGATTGTTCTGTAATTTAGTTGTAATTTTAATGTGTTCACAGAAGGAAGCAGGCACAGTGTTTATCTATTCTGCCATTTTGGGTTTCCTTTCAGCAACTATTTTTAAAATTTCTACCTGTTAGGTAAAATTTTGGGAAAAAAAGAGGCATAAACTTAAATTTTATATTGTTGCTACTTGCAGGACTTTGATATATGATAAATAAGGCTTCAGTTGAACTTGGTAGGGGGGTATGTAATATCAAAAAATGTGAAGAAAATTATCCATTGTCATAATGGGGGTAAATAAAGCTTGATTCTATATACATTTAGAAGTTTTTCCCCAAGATATCGAGGCTGGAATTTTTTGAGCTAGGAAAACCCAAATTTGTCGAAGTTGAGGTGTCTGTAAGTCCACCAAGACAGATCTTGCAGTGGATCGAAGATTGATTTCTAAGCCAGGCAGGAAATTTTACTTTGGTTGAAGAACTGAAAGAGCAATGCTGAAACAAGTAATCTCTTTTGTTTTATCAAAATCCATGAACTTCCTCTGTCTTCCTCCCATGAAGTAATATTGGGTTGTTGGAAAAGTCATGACACATTTTTGCAATGAAAAACAGAAAACATATGTCATGAGTTTTCCAACAACCCAATAGGTTATCTTGTCAACTGAGGCTCTCTCCCATCTCATTTCTTTCCACTTTAGCTTTTTTCTTAGAGTTCATCCTTACAGTTGACTCCCCCGCCCCCCGACTTTACTGACGTATAATTGACATATAAAACACTTATGCACTGCCTAATGACATTTCAGTCAACTACAGACCAATATATGAGAGTGGTCTCATAAGATTATAATGGAGTTAAAAAATTGTTATCATTTAGTGACATAATGGTCAGTGTCACTGTGCAACATTATTGCTATTTTTAAATAAATTGAGTGTAGTCTCAGTGTATAGTTATAAAGTTTACAGTGTGGACAGGAATGTCCGAGGCCTTCACATCCACTCACCACTCACTCGCTGACTCACCCAGAGCAACTTGTAGTCCTGCCTGCAGGCTCCAGGGCATTATACAGCTGTACCATTTTTTATTTTTTATACCTTATTTTTACTGTACCTTTTCTATGTTTAGATACACAACTACTTACATTGTGTTGTAATTGCTAACATTTCAGTACAGTAACATGCTGTATAGGTTTGTAGCCTAGGAGCAATAGGCTCGACCATCTAGGTTTGTGTAAGTGCACCCTGTGATGTTCACACAGTGACAAAATCACCTAGCGACAAATTTCTCAGTATATATTCACATTGTTAAGTGATACATGACCGTGCATTTGAAGATTAAAACATGATGATTTGATATACATTGTGAGGTGATTACCACAATCATAATTAATACATTTATCACCTCACATAGTTACCTTTGTGTGTGTGTAGTGAGGATGTTTGTGACTACTCTCAGCAAATTTCAACTATAAAAGATACTATTGTTAACTATACTCACTATGCTGTACGTTATATCTGCAGTATTTGTTCATCTTATCGCTGAAGGCTTGTACCCCTTGACCAGCATCTTCCCATTTCCCCCATTCCCCAGCCTCTTGTAACAGCCATCCTACTCTGTTTCTATGAGTTTGGCTTTTTTGTCTGTTTGTTGTTGTTTAGGTTCCACTTATAAGTGAGATAATACAGTATTTGTCTTCCTCTGCCTGGCTTATCACTTAGTATAATATCCTCCAGGATCATCCACGTTGCTGAAAGTGGTAGGATTTCTTTCTTTCTCATGGCTGAATAATATTATAGATAGGTAGATAGATAGATAGATAGATAGGTAGATAGATAGATAGTAACTATCGATGTGTTGCTATGGATTGTGGATTTTTTGGTGATTTTTTTTCAGTAGCTTTCTTGGGGCTTATACATGCCATCTGAACCCAGTTAGCCTCATTCTTCAGTTGGCAATACATTGGTGCCACTGAGATAGAGTAAACAGATAGATAGGGCCCAGGAACTTCAAGTTTTATTTAACTTGCCATAGATTGGAGCTTTTTCTCATAATTCTAGGTAAAGGCGTAGTGCTTATATGTAAAAAATTTAGGAAGAATAACCAGAAGGAATACTTGATTGACTATTAGAGTATTATTACCAGGTTTAAATATATCTTATTTTTTATTAGAGAAATTCCTATCTCAAAATCATGCTAACTTTTAGAATGTTAAAAATGTATGCATATTTTTGTTAATTCTCTACATATGGCAACTTTCACAAATCTTTCAAAATCTCATAAATTGATGTCTTTGGGAAAGTTTCATTTTTTTTCTCCTTTCAACATAACAAACTCCAATTTAGCTTCTTATTTCAAAATAATTCAGAATAGGCTGTTATCTTTTGTAGAATGTCTTGTCATCTTCAATAAATTATGAAAAAAATCATCCTTTAATTACAAAACCTGAGTATGGCTCTTAATTTATAATAATCTAAAAAGAGCTTCTATAAGTAAACACCAAAGGAAATAATAATATATTAAGCCATATTTTATTTATTGTAATTGCAATATATTTTTACAATTAATTTTTTATCACTGACCCTAATTAATTCATTTTAGAATCTACCATAATTCTATGTTTATAAAAGTAATTTGCTGACTTTTCCCCCTATTTTTCTCAATCACTTATTTTATATAGTTAGATTGAATCACTACTGATATATCATAATTCTAAAATGCAGAATATTATATCTAAAGGATTAGCAATTTTGGAGTTGTTTGATGTTAAATAAAATTTTAAATAACTTTGTTCTCTGTGCTCTGTTTGACTTTTTTCTTTCCTCTCCTATGAGGGAATCTAAAAGAGTAAAGCACAACTCAGCTGGTTGTCTTTGAAGAATAACAATTTGAGATGAGAGTAAGTTGATAGTGTAGTAATTAGGTCTGGTGATAGCTTTCCCAGGAGATAGCTTATGCAAAAATGATGGAGGTCTGCTCATCATTGTACACAGAATGTTGACATTCTTAACTTTAATAGGAAAGCATTTATCTTTTGCACCTGCTCCAGTATATGAATAGCTGTCATGTACTCCAACAAAAGAGAGGAAAAAATGTCACTATGATTTTAAAAATATGCATTGACATAAGAAAAAGTAAAATATTTTGAGCACTTGGAGTTTCTTTTTCTTGCTTTTTATGCCTGGTTCCTACAGTGAATTATTTGTTATATCTAATAGTATTAGAATTTGTTATATTTAATAGTATTAGAATTTTCCTATTGGGTTCACCAGTATGACTTCATCATTATAGAAAGCTCTTTAAATTATTAAAGAGAGCCTGTGTGCATGCTTTATGAGTAAAAGGTTATGCCCTTACGATTACTGAATTTTCAGTGGCATGTAGCAAAATGAAACACCTAGATAAAGTGTAAATGCAGTTTTTACAAGTATATTAGTAAGACAAAATTTAAAGTTGATAAAAGTGAAAACATTCCTAAAATTTCACTAAATAAGTAAAAAAAAATGAAGTAAAATGTATATTGAATTTAATTATTGTAAAAACAAGAGGTTCTTATAGGTTTTTAGATTCCTGACAGGTTGACTATGAAGATTTTACATCCTTTAAAAGTATTGAAATGCTGTTGCTTTTACACAACATTTTTATTTCTAACTATTACTACTCTATTGGATAAATTCTGAAGGAAGTCTGTCAGATGTCTTGTACATTTATGCTTGCTCATCAGGGGTTTTCTCCCATGGCATTTTACGTGCTGACTTTTCTTATGAGACTGTCTTTCTATTTTAACTTTCCTTTTAAAAATATGCAAGAGATTTTAAGATTATATATACACACGGTGTATGCCTACTATGTATACATATATAAAGTATAGCAAAAATTTAATCTGACTCATCTTTTAACAAACACTAAAATTAAGAACCAAATTAATTTTCTCCCTTAAGAGTTCTACTCTTAGAAATTATTCATTTATTTTAGTTCTGCTGCTGTTATTTAAAATGACTTTGGACCTCTTCCTTTGAAGTGTCCTTAAAAATCTGCAAAAATTTTTTTTTTTAAATACATTTTCACAGGTGGCAGGTCATCATTCTTTGAGGATGGTTGAGAAATCGGAAGAAAGAATTTGTTTCTGAAGTAACAGAGAGGCTTTCAGAGCCATATATGTTGAACAGGTAACTGATTGTTTCAGTTAACCTATTTTGGGTCAGAGTCAGGGATAGGCTAGAAAGGACTTGTCGTGTGTGTGTGTGTGTGTGTGTGTGTGTGTGTGTGTGTGTGTGTGTGTGGAGGGGGGGAGGAAAAATGAAAAAAAGCAGGAAGGAAAAGGAGGGGCACAAAATGACTATGATAGCAATTTGAAAAGAAAAATACAAACAGGTTTCAGCAATTGTTGAAAAAGCTTGGAGTCTTCCATGGTGGCTATTTTGAAAGAATGTGATCCTTTAGAAGTACTGGCAGCCCACGAAGCACTGATTTTCTACAGGATTTTCATTATACTGTCTGAGAACATTATGTCAATATTAGCATTTAAAGTGACATAAATTAAAACTGAATCTGATTCATTCTTCCTACGGCTCTTCCACCTCCCTAGCATCATCAGTCCGGCCCCAAATTTTACTCTCTACCTTGGGCCATCATGTTTCATTCTTACTGGGGAGACATCTTGGCTTTGTTGAGTTTCTGAAAATTCTTGAGTTGCATACATAGCTGAATCATTATGGTTCCAGGAGATGTTGGCTTTGGACAGAGGGAGCAAAGTAAATTTAGAAAAGAGGGAAAAGTGCCTAGATTCAGAGAGTCACCATTTGAACTGGAACTTGGTGTGGTTTTCACATTAGGAATCTACAATCTGGGAGGAATCAACAATGATCAATTTAATACCAGTTGCTAGCTGAAGTTTATACTAATCATCCAAGTTTCTTTATGTCTTACCTCACGCGGCTGAGTGGTGCGCTTGAAAGAGATCACGATGTACATTCAGAAGGCCTAGTCCTAATTCAGTTCTGACCATAAATTATTTGTGATCTTGACAAATTACTTTAAGAAAATGGTAGTTTTCTCCTAAATGACTCCTTTGAGACAGATAGGTACTAGTGCCTCTGTTGTACAGATAAGGAATTTAAGAAACAAGTCAGCCATGGCAAAATAAATTGCCCGAGACAATTGATTTTAAGAAGTGGAGCTATGCTTGGATGGGCACAGTTTTTGTCTCATAGGAAGCCGCTTCTCTATGAGATTACAGCTCAAAAATTTCCTTTATATTTGTCTGAAATCATGCAAGAAAGACGCTATTGTGCTAGAATAAACTTCCCTGTCAGTGAAACTGAGCAATTCTGGAGGAAAATGCTTTCTCAACTGTACAACAGTAAACCAGAAAAAGCTATGCTTGCTTATAAAGTTAAAGATAGCTTACTTTTTATTACCTTTTTATTTGGTTCAAACATTTCCAGTGACTTTGGGCTCAAATGTTTACCTTGTTCACTGTGAAAATTCCAAAGCACATAAGATTCTATTAAAGGCAATCTTCTAGTCATCTGGAAATCAAATTCTAAAACCTTAGGGACTCAGATTCCATATTTAGGAGTGGTTTTGTGCCCCTTGTTTAATCCTAACAACATTTGAGACCCTTCTATGTACAAAGCATTTTTGGTTGTTCAGAATAATTTTAATAGCAACACTGCATGTAAAAATATTATACAATGCTCCTGGACGTCATGCACTGTAGACAGAGATTCTAAATAGGATGTTTTCATGTCCTCTTGCATAAACTTACTGCTCCAGCCTATAGACAGAGATTATTTCTTTTGAAAAGGTAATTACAACAACAAAAAAATTAATGGAGTGTTCATAAAAATTTGCAATTGCCAATTGTTTTTTGTTTTGTTTTGTTTTGTTTTTTTATAAGAAGAGAGCAGAACAAAACATCCATGGTTCAAAATGCTTAACAAATATCTCTCATTCTCTCTAATTGTCTCCTCAAAGGTGTTGGCAAAGTTTTTCCAAAATGAGACCTCAGCATTTTATAATGTTAACATATTCTGAATTGTTGCACTAAGGGAAAAAGACTAGAATTGCTTTAGGAGAAAGAACCATTTACAATGTTCTATGAAATTGAGCCATATTAAGAACAATGTTATGAGATGGTTACTTCATTGCACTATGTAATCTATACCTTTTCATATATACCACTTTGAGATATAGTTTGCTAACTTTTATAAAATAGTGACCCTTAATCAAGCATGTAATTTATGCCATATTTTTCCTTTTAATTATTATTATTAGCTTATGTAATATCAAGAATAACATTTTGTATAATTTTGTTAATAAAGCATTGTCACAAACTTATAACCCAATGAGAAGCTTTTTACTTCTTTACCACCATATTTCTTTCCTTTTACCTCCTTCATTCTTTTTTTCCTAGTTTTATTGAGATATAATTGACATGTGACATAGTATGACATTTAGTATTAGCATTAGTATACAACATAATTATTTGATATACTGCAAAATGATTACCACAATAAATTTAGTTAACATCCATCACCTCAAAGTTACAAAGTTTCAGTTATAAAACAAATAAGTTCTGGGGATATAATGTACAGCATGGTGAATATAATTAACAATTGGCAACTTTGTATATTTTGATCCCTTTTACCCATTTCACCCATCAGCTTTTTACCATTGAACATGATGTTAGCTGTGGGCTTGTCATATATGGCCTTTATTATGTTGAGGTATGTTCCCTCTGTACCCAGTTTATTGAGAGTTTTATCATAAATGGATGTTGAATTTTATCAAATGCTTTTTCTGCATCTACGGAGATGATCATATGATTTTTATCATTTATTTTGTTAATGTGGTGTATCACATGTACCACGATCAGGTAGGATTTATTCCAGGGATGCAAAGGTGTTTTAACATCTGCAAATCAATCCTTCATCTTTGTTTAGGCCACCTGCTTTATGCCTGTTGTTTTGGTGTGATTAGAAATAGAGCCTCTCAAATAAGTACATGAAAACATATTCACCATCATTAGCGATCAAGAAAATGCAAATTAAAACCAAAATGGGATACCACTGCACACTCACTAGAATGGCTATAATTAGAAACACTGTCCATACCAATTGTTAGTGAGGATGTAGAGAAACTATACTTTTCATACATTGCTGTAAAGAATCTAAAATGCTGTAATCACTTTGGAAAATTATTTGACAGTTTCGTAAAAACGTATATGCACTTTGCATACCATCCAGCCATTCTACATACTTCTATATACTTATATAAGAAAAAGAAATACATATGTCTATACCGAGATTTTTACATAAGTGTTCATAGCAGCTTTATTTGTAATAACTCCAAACTGGAAAAACAAATATCTATCAACAGGAGAATGGATAAATTATGGTATAGCCATACAATAGAATAATACTCAGAGATAAATAGGAAGACTGTTGATGTACATAACATGTAAGAATCTCTATGTGACAGAAGTCAAACAAAAAAGGACAAAGTATATGATTCTGTTTATATGAAATTCTAGAAAAGCAAACTTGTGACAGAAACCAGATCAGTGTTTGACCAGGAATAATAAAAGAGGATGAAAGGAGAGTTTACAGAGTGGCATGAGGAAACAATTTGGGATGACAAATATGTTTATTATCTTGACTATGGCAATAGTTTCACAGGTACATGTCAAAATGCATCAAACTCTAAATAGGCGCAGTTTATTGTATATCAATTATACCTAATGAGGCTTTAAAAAAAAATAATGCCACCTTTGACTCTCAAAGGCATTACAGTTTGAATGTTGGTAAAATTCCTTTCCTTAATCTGGGTGCTGATTTTAAAGATTTTTAATTGAGGTATAGGTTTCATAGATGTATTCAGTTTGTGAAAATTCACCTATAATATGTGCACTTTTCTGTATATCTGTTATTCTTCAACCAAAAAATGGCAACAAAATAAAAAACAATAAAGCCTGAAAGTATCCCTGAAAGAAACATGCAGAAAGTGTTTCGTTTGGCCAATAAATTATATTTGTTGTATTTTTCTTTATATTTTTATTTTTTTCTATTTTAGAGAAAAAAAACCTAAGATTTAGAAACAACTTGTAAAAAGTCCCAAAAATAATGTAAGTATTTCAGTGGAGACTTCAGCTAGCTTTTTCTTTCCTGAAAGATCTATGTGCCTTCCTGTATTTTTCAGGCCTTTAGTGAAGGTTTGTTATGTTAAAAAATAATCAGCCTTATTTATGGTCATCCCTTCTACATTCGTATCATAATTTATGATGGTTCACATCAGATTCCTTCAGAGCTAAAGAGTAATATTAATTTCAATATTTATAGCAAGTTTTGCGACACAAAGTAACTAACCCTTGTCAGTTAGTGCAATGGTGCCAGCATAGTCTTTGGGACAAAGAACGGTAATACAGAAGCATTTTAAGGGAACAAAAGACCTCCCACTAGTGGAGAATATAATTCTGATCATAGAATGAAATTACCAGTAGAAGATAATAATCATCAGCATTTTGAGATACAATGAACACTTAAGAAAATATTCATGTATTGATGTGGATTTTGATGTATTTCAGTGGCAGTGACTCAGTGGAAATCTTTTCTCTTGTTTTTTTTTTTTTTTGATATGGAATATTTTTGATATCCAGGGAAAAAGAAAGAAGCAAACAACTCTTTGATATTAAATAGCAAATTAGTTTAGAAGTTCATTAATATTATAAAGTAATAAGCTGACTTTTAAGTAATATGGCTTATTACATTTTAATAAACACTCCCCAAAGGTTAAGTTGTATTAGTATGATGCTTTGCACACAGTAGGCCCTCAAAGTGGTGTAGACTAATTTCAATTCATAGCCAGTTTAGTGGAAGGAGAGGGAGGCAGAAGGTGGTAAGGCAGACAGGGAAGGAAAAAGAGAGGCACAGCAGAGCAAGGGGCAGCCGAGAAGGGCTCTGTAGGTTTGTAAGAGAAATCATTTCCGGTGCTCTTCATCTGTTACTGGAGGCTTTGGGTTCCTTACAGGGTGTGGAAGATTCTGTTGGTTTCCTTACTCTTTATCTGTTTCCCTACAAGCATGTGCTAAAATGACTGATTATGTTCAAATAGCCATCCTTCTCCTGACGGCCATGCACTTGAAAGAGGGTAGCCTGATTCCCAGTCC